TTTATTTTTATAAAATATTTTTTTCTAAATATTTTTATAATAAAATATTTATAAAATATATAATAAAATATTTTTATAAAATATAAAACGAGTCGAGCCAAGCCGAGCTCGAGCCTGGTACTATTCGGCTCAGCTCGGCTCGAATCCACCCCTAGAATTCAGTTTTTAAAGTTCCTTTGAAAGTCAAATACTGGTAAAATAAACCATATAATTATGTAATAACAAGAGTCACATAGCATCAATGGTATCTTTTCCCAATATTACCATGAATTTTTAAAAGAATTAACTTATATTTTCTTTATAAATGGGGTGCAATGTAACTTGACTACAATCTATCACCTTGGAAGGTTACCTAGTGGATCTAGATTTCATGGTTAGGTTTATTCTGTCGAACTTGTGTATTGACTAGAACTATTGGTTCTGATATTTGTTTATCTGGTGGATCTAATTTGTTATTTGACACTGAATATAGTATTGGGTGTATGTAAATGAGTTAAAACTCTTTTTATTTGGTAGAGGGTTGAGGGTTTGGGTGAATGGCTGCAAAGGTGTTATTTTGCTGCATTGTAAATCTTTGCTATGTGGAGTTCTTTTGCTCATCTGAAGTGCATTAGAGTTTTGAATTCCACAATGGAAATATGTTTTTTAGAGGACCATATTTTGAGTTCAACATAGAAAAACAAACACCAAATTTTATTTTGTTCTTGGGAAAAAGGATAGTATTTCTATAAGATGTTTTAGTCTGTTTTCCAAACTAGTTAAACTTTATGGAATGTAGCCCGCCCCCCTTCCCCCATGGCTTAATCTACTACTAGATTTGAGATAGATTAAACAAGAAACTTACAGTTTGGTAAATGATGGCTCTTCTTATTGGTACCCTATCACCAAATGGTCTTGAGTCTCTCCTTTGGCCATTAAGGAAGTGGCTTCTAGCAGTTGGCTCACTATTTAAATGAGACTAGGAGATCTTGACAATCATGACTGTTCAAATTAGATGGGTTCCTAGAAGGTTGGATTCAAATAGAAATAAATCTAGGGTAGATAGGGTTATATACACACACATAAACCTAGGCATAAACATACACTATGATTTAACTAGAATTGAATAGGCTAAAAACCAAGTTCATTTTGATAATTAAATGATCCCTGTTTACAGGACTCAATAACCTGTTACAGTGTAGTGAGATTGTACTAAGCAAACTAACCTAAATTTTACCCTTTTCCACGGGGGCTTTAATGCAACAAAAGGCAAAGAAAACCCCAAAGCGAAATTAATTCACATGCTAAGCTGATCGTTGAAGGCCAATTTGGAAGAATTGAATGCAAAATTATGTTAATTTCTCAAATTATATGAAAATGCAAAATTATATGAAACTTAATGTGACCTTATTCGATTAAGAAGCAATTCCTTACTATTTCTTATTCCTACTCATATTGTTCTTGTTCAAACCTTAACTAGTTTCTCTTTCTTTTTTGATCAGCATAAAGAGGGGTAAATGGCAACTAAGCAACATCACTATTTGCTACAATTAACATGAGTAGTTTCTCTTGAAACTATTTCAGCCATGTTGAGAGTTCAACAAGACCTTTCTTCAAATATTGACTCTCTGGGTTGTCCAGGAGTGAAGGCTTCATTCCACATCAGTTCCATATTTGGCTTTTATCAAATTATGTTAATTACT